AAGAGCCTTTCCAATCAGGTGGGATGTGAATTGGCCGCATCTTTTTGTTGCTCCGGCCAATGCTGAGCTTCCACGCCATGATTTTTGCCACGGTGGCTGGACGAGACCGGACATAGATGTCCCGTTGCCATGGTGGGCATTTTCAAAGCACGGGATTCTTTTAGTCTTGCTTCAGATTGGTAGCAAGAACTTCAAGGTCAAAGCAGGACGCCTTCTGAGAATATGTAAATCATCATCAGGATGTCGTATCACAGGGTTACTAGCACTAGCTTCAAGAGGTGCTACACAACGAACGCAGCCATGGCATGGGACTACTGCATGCCAGAAACGTGCATTGAAGGCCCTTGGATGCTGGATGCAAGGATGCAAGATTTTGCTCTTTGCGCGTGAAGCCATGACACATCATGCAAGCGCAGCATAAGTAAAGATGCCCGCTTAGGAAAGATAGGGACACCAAGCATGACCGTCTTTCGGATGAGTGGGCCTGGACATGCAGAGACTACGTCAGCAGGCAGCTTTGCACGTTGGACGGAGACTATGGACCAGGCTGGAATCAAGAAGTTGGGTCCCATGGAAGGTATGGGACCTTTGATGACTGGAAGTTCATGAACCTGACAGCAAGGCAAGCTTGCTGTGGGTGTGGCGGTGGAAATCGAAATCCTCAGGCCTGCGAGGATAATGCAATCTTCATGGATGCCATTGGTGATTGCAATTCAAGAGCTATGCATCGATCGGGCTGTGAGGATGAAATTGTGCGCTTCTACTGCCCGAAGGCTTGTGCTCTGTGTTCCTTGTCAGTGGTTGGCTCTGACAGTCTACTAGAAAGTTGTGAAGACGACAGAGAGGTTCAGGCGGATTGCGATTCATTTTTCCGCACCTGCGAGAAGACCGATGCAGCAATGAAGTCTTGGCAGCGGCATTGAGCACCCGCCTGGAAGCGCTGGCACTTGCTGGATTCAATTCTGACGTCTTCGAAAGGTTCCGTGCTCGCTGTCCCTTTTCCTGCCGGTTGTGTCAGAAGTGCCCTTCAGGCTTCCGGTTAGAATTGGACTACAGATCCTATGACGCGCAAGTGTGCCAGAAGTGCACCGCTGGGCAATATCAGCCGCTGCAGTACTCAACGGTATGCTTTGAATGTGAGCCAGGACTGTTTACCGAACAAGCAGGCAGCTCATCTTGCAAGCGTTGTCCAGAAGGCCATACGAGTCAGCGCGGGGCTCAGAACTGCACTTTGTGCCCCGCTGGAAGCATTCCTGACGCGGTGGGTGCCAAGTGTGAGCTTTGCCCAGTGGGCTCCACATCTTCCATGACACGGAACCGCTGCGAGCTCTGCAAGGCCGGAACCTTCGCAGCCCAAACAGGGAGCTCAGGGTGCAAGGCCTGTGCACCCGGACAGTTCAGTGTCCAAGGCAGCGCCACCTGCATGGATTGTCTGCAAGGACAGGTGACATCGCGACATGGCTCTGAGGCCTGCCAATGGTGCCCCCCTGGGAAGTACAGCGACCTCAGCAGAAGCTCCAGGTGCAAGTCCTGCGAATTTGGCACCGTCACAAGTGGCCGCGGAAGCACCGCCCTGGTGGACTGCCAGACCCTTGGCATGACTTGGAGTCGTCCTTTCCAATAATCCACAGCTTGTCGCGCAGCTTGTCAGAGTTTCTCGAGACTTTCTGTTTTTTCTCGGAGTGCACAGAAACACAAGGTGCCCAGCAAGGACTTGTTTCGACGGCGGTATGGGTTTCTGCGTGCCATGCCCGCAAGGCATGTCATGTGCATTCGGCTGCTCGGCAGAAGGTCTAGGTGCTGAGGCTGCTTTGTGTTCTGGATGGCGAAGGCTTTTGGATCCGCTTTGGTTCCAAGTTGAGGGTTGGGCATTCTATGTCTTCCTGGCAGGTTCAGATAAGTTCAAAGTTTGTGGCAGAGGGTCCATGTCAGCGGCACGGTGCTGGCCTTTTTTTCGACTTTGCTGCAGTATGCTCTGATTCACGGAAAGAATGAAATGGCCCATGAGCTGGAAGTCTTCAGGCTGCAACTACAGCAGCTTTGGTACGTCAGAGGTGCATCCACTGCTGCAAGCAGGCTACATGACGAACTTTGGCTGCACTTGTTTGAAGTTGAGGGCTTCGGCATCTGCAGTTTTTTTTTCTGGATTTGCTTTATCCCTGCAAGGGAGCCCAGAGGACTTGGGGAATGGACGGTTTGGAAGTTCGACATGCTTAGGTCAGGCTTAAGAGACATTGGAGCCCGCTGGAAGCTTGCTCGATAGGCATGTGAGCCTGCTGGATGAAGACAGGCTATTTGCTTGGAATAAGTTTGCATCTCGAATTCACACGCAGCCAACCCAGACAGCCGACTGTGACCCCGAAGCACGCTTAAGCTGGTCCCACATCAGGACATGGAAATTGCAGCCAAGGATCTTCGACAAGGATCCAATGAAGGTCTATAAGTGTAAATCGACGACTGCGTGTCCGGGTGGCCAGCCTGGTACGTGTGGAGAAGGCCACCAACCTAGGGCAGTTGCCTGTGGCTTGTGCAGCTCGGGCATCTTTTGGCAGAATGGGTAACGTCGCTGATAAAACCTTGACGGAAAGGGCACCACACTTTTTTGGTCAGTCCAGCCAAGGCTTATCTGGATATTTTCCGAGCGGGCAGGCATGCTCACCATGCCGCGAGCAGAGCTGGGTTTTTGCATCAATTCTTCTTGCCATTGTTCTTGCTGCTCGGATTTTTTGTTTGAGGTCATTTGGCATGAGCACATGTGTCACATGTATGTTTCCAGGCTTCCAGTGCAGATTGGGAGCCAAGGTGGTGGTTCTTCTGACTTTGGCAGTGAGTCGGCATCCAGCCATGCGAACAAACGCCAGCCTGATGGTGGCCATTTTGGCCAGCATGGCTGTAGGCAGGTTTTGGCAAGCTTTCATTCAGGGTTTCATCATATTTACGCATAAGAGTCAGGAGAGTTTGCAGCAGAGGACAGTGGCCGCAGACTTGGGACTCAACTTCGGAGTTTTGGGGTGCACGTTTGAGGCTACGATTTCATTGCAAGTTTCCATGTTCGTCCAAAGCACGTTTTTTTTGCCGCATTCAAGGACGCGGATGATTGAAGTGCATCAGGTTTGTGGTTCATTATTGAAGGCCGGCATTTCCTGGCTCCACTGCAGGCTGCCTGCAGAGCCTGAACATCTATCGCCAGCTGGACATCGAATGGTTCGAGCTCATGCGTTCGAGTCCTTGACTTCATGGCCCTTCTGTTGATATCTTTTTGTATGTTATTTGGTGTAGAACCACGTGGATCCAAGCAATTAGTTGTTTGCAGGATGCTGGATTCCATGTCCTTCCTAGCTTTCAACCTGGACCTTTTGAATGGTGGCTGCATTTTCGGCCATATCGAGGTGAGCCCGTCGCAGAACTAATCTATTGCAAGAGCAGCATGGCTGGTGGACTACTCCGCTGAAACTTACGGTCAAGCCAACACATATATGTGTATATATATATATACATATTTATTTATATATACACATATATATGGTCCCCCCTATGACACACCTAGAGCTGAATTTTGCGTCACTAGCAGTGGTTCAGGCCTTTTTTTAAGTGTCCAGGGGTTATGTCCTTTTGTTTGTGTCCAAGTTTTTACGGTGATGATGGTGTCTAGTTTGCAGAAATGAATACATAGTAACAAGATCGAGAAACTCAAAGTCCAAGAAAACCAAGACTAGATTCCTGGATTTACGATTTTCGATCGGGTTTTGGTTTCTTAGGATTTCTGAATTTCTTTCAAAATTACATACAAGAATCCTAGAATCCTGGATTTCCAGTTTTGTATATATGAAGTTGCTTTAGACTTTCACTAGACCAAGAAACTCAAAATACACACAAGCAACACTCGAGGGCCCCTAAAAGCTGTGTTTATTTGTTTTACATGTTTTTTTGATTCTCTGGCTTCGGACCACAAAAAAAGGTGTTTTTCTTCTTCATCAAAACCTACAGCAATTCTAGTTGTATTTTTGTGAAAAGACTCAAATATCTGTTAGCTTGTTTCATCCAATGTTTTTTGGTTCAAAACCAAGAACCCAACAAACTAGGCCTTCTATTTTTTGGGGGGCGGGGGTCTTTGGTTTTGGGTCATCCAGGAACCCAGGATTTCTGCATTATTTGAAATCAAATTTTGAAAGAAATTCGTACAGCATAAAATCAGAGTGCAAGCACAAATTCAGGATTCCACGTTTTACTTAAAATTTACAATACAATCATAGATACAGTGTCACATACGTTATTTATAGCCCAAATCCTCTGGAAAACTGTCATTTGAGGAATCCAGGATTTAGGTAGTATTTCCGATTGGTTTTTGCAAGGAATTCCGCATGATGCCTGAAAAGGTGTGTCGTAGGGGGGTGAGATATGCATATATACATATATATACTTATTTTTTAAATATCTATATGCATATATATATATATACACCTCTCTAGAATCTGTAAAGCCCTGGGAAAGCTGAACTGGTGAAGGTGAGGAAGTACATCCTGCAGCAGAGCGCGGCCCCCATGTTGCTGCCGGTGGCCTTGCTGACATTGATCGTCAAGAAGCAGTTCATCAAAAACACCCAGGCGGGGTTGCGCAGAAGCAGCTTTTTTGCCAGGATGCTAGGCCCCACTCGTAGCACGGGCATGGGGTTCTTTGCCGTTGCGGCTCCTTTGTATCGTAAGCGGCAGGTGCTCGTCCAGTTCTTGAACACGGTCGGTTCCTTTTTTCAGATGGTCTTCATCTCTTTGTTGATCAACTGTGCGATGCCTCTTCGGTGCTTCGATCATCCTACATCCAGCAAGTCTGTCTCAGAGATGCCTGCTGTCCTTTGCTTCGCGGAGGGCCAACACACCTGGCTCTTGGTAGTTGCTCTCGTTTCCTTCTTGGCAATGCCGCTCCCGTTTGTAGTGGCAAGCATTTGGGCAACGCTGGTTTACCCAGCCAGGCTGCTCGAAGACTCGGCGAGGGGCCGAAACTTCATGCTGGCTACGCAGTTCCTTTTCTCCCGTTTCGCGCCGAAGTCTCACGCTTACAGCATCCTTGTCCTCCTTAAAAGTTTCATCCTTGCCATGGTGCCTGTCGTTTTTCAAGCTGGCGTTGTTCTACAGTCTTGCTTCCTGGGCTTTGCGCTTCTGGGATTTTGCTGCCCTTATCTTTTGATTTTAGATAAGCGAGTCGTCGTGCTGCACTCATGCCGCTTGAGTCCCGTGAGCCAAGGATAGCTCTGTTTATGATGCACCAACAATACGTTCGTCCTTGGAAGAGTGAGACAGCCAATCAAATGGACGGTCTCTGCAGCGTGACGCTGCAGCTGCTGCTGCTCTGCGGCGCACTTGCCTCACCCATCGACAGCTCGAGCCTGGGATGCCTTTCAAACTCCAAGACAACTAGGATGTTCAATGGATCTCAGAGGCTTTCCACTGTAAGTTACCCGGCAAGTCCAGGACTACCGATGAGCTGCGCATTGTTGGCACTGGTGTCTTCGTCTTCCTGGTTTTGGTTCTGGGGGCCAGCGTTGCTGTGAGCCTCTACCGGGTGTGCGTGCCGGGCCCACGCTACAAGTGGTTCATTTGTCACCACAAGGCGCGGGAATGGTTCTTGTAACAGATTGTTTTTGCGCTTAAATGTGGTCAAATTTGGGACTGACCTTGGTAGGGTTTACATAGTGGGACCAGACTTGACCTCCCAATGATGCTGATGCTTCCGGCATGCATGTGCGCACTTGTCTTAGGTCCTAAGATTTTAAGAATCCGCTTGGGCACATCCCCTTTTTGCCCTGCAAAGCCATGGATCGCGGCTTCGTCCCGATCGTGCGATGCCAGCGTCCTGACAAGATCTTTACAAGTGAGGACCCAGAAAGCCTACAGCTCGGGGGAGATCTTAACATGTATGTTCGTAGCTATTGCGCAATGCAGGGTCTTAGCGCTGCTCTGGCTAAAGGCCACGACTATGGGAGGGAGCAAAAATGAAGCAAAAGACATGGTGAGCGAAAGCGAGGTCGCTTGAATTTTGAGGGTAGACATGCTCCATTTTTGACGGCGTAGACTCCCCCAGACAGAGCTCTCCAAGCACAAGAGCAGGCTAGGAGTTCTACCAGTCCCCAAAACTCGTCATGCTAAAAGCACTTAAGCCAAAGTGCGAGAATGCCCTGTGAATGCCCTGTGTAAGAATGTTCTTTCGATCCAAGATGCAAGGATGCTCCACACAAAAGCATGATTTCGACGCAAGATTGCGAGCCGCTCCGAGTGTGCGCGTCATTTTGAGCTATCGAGGCCGAAAAAGCCATCTATAGACTTCTCGCTGATCATGCGAACAGGACCGTGGCAGGAGCACGATGGCGACTTCGAACTGCGAGGACGCCCCGCAATAGCGACCGAACTCCCTGCATGCTCTGCACGGAAGTGCGAATGTCAAGCCACGATGCGAGGACGCTCTGCACTGAAGCCACACAACCGGCCGGGTGCGCCGCACACGAACGCGTGCTCAGTTCGCTTTACAACTTTGCCCTCCGCTTGGGTGGGTTTTTAGTCCACGTGCCCTAGGGGACACGGTTTTCCCATCCCCGTAATTTCTACCCGAAGAAGATGAGCCTTTAGAAGCACAGGCTCTTTCCTTTCTAGTATTGCAATGTTCTGTCGAGTTGCTCATCCTTGGGATCTCCCTGTGAACTGATCACTTCGAACATCCAGGGCCAGGGCCATTGATCGCGAACCCCCTGAGGCTGAACAAAGCAACCAACATGAAGTGAAGGCCGATGACATGTGAATTCATGCTGGATGAAACGCTTATATGATGAGATTGTGTAACAGCGAGACACTCAGCTCGCCCATTTTCTGCCACGAGAGATTTATAAAGACTTCCTCAGAATTTCTTTGAAGGCAGGTCTCCAGTATTCAGCTTTCTTTGCCCAGGCATGATGACTTTTCTGCCAGCATTTTTCCAGTATTCGTCTTCCTGTGTATTTTTCTTGTCGCCATGCGAAAATTCATTCCCTTCATCAGCGAATGTTTAGCAAACCAAGCACGAAGAATTGAGCGACCAAGAGACCTCCAGCAAATACGCAACCATAATGGGATCCAGGCAAAATAAGTTTTATGCAGTGGGACTGGCATGTTTATCCTGAACTTGTAGTGCAGAAATCATAAGCTAACGTGAGATCTTTGAACACTTCCATGAGGTCGGGGTGGTCTCTAAAGCCTCATTGCACGCTGCCCCTCAAACTTCCCCATCAAAGTGCAGTCGGCAGATATTAAGCAACCCCAAATTGCCAAAGACTTCAGGTGTCTCCCAGAAACAAGTTGTTCGCATAATTTCACCATCCCGTTCATGAGTCGCCATCAGGCTGATGCAGCAGCTCAGGCTCGCCTACTGAAGATGCTTCTGCAGGCCCAGGGCTTCTAGCTTTGGGTCCTTCCCCCATCCAGGGTGTGATTTCAGGTTGAGTCTTGCTCTTGGCCACGTGCAAACTTGCTGCGAATCGTGTTCAATTTTTTCATTCATTCATTCAATCAATCAATCAATCAATCAATCAATCAATCAATCAACCGCGCTTTAGTGTTCTTGCTCAGGATCTTGACAACATGTTCCCAGTGCGTGGACCGAGGGCAGAGTTTTAGTTCTGAGAGCTTTTGCCCCAAAGTCTGCAGGCGCACAGCGGCAAAAGCGTTTTCATCGACTCAGACGACCTGGTAGCCATGGACACCTTGTTCAACGTTGTCAAGTGCTCACAGATCAAACAGAGGGTCTGCTATCCACGGAGCACATTGGAGCGCTAAACCACCAAACGTGATTCCCAAAGCTGGGAAATGAGGTGCCAGATAGAGATCCTGAAGGTTCGAGAGCCGCTTTCTTAAGTTTTGTGAAGGGTTCCCTGTGGGTGACCCGCACGCGCGCATCGTATAACAGGCCTTGGTGCATTGGCGAGATCGTGACAGCCATTCGGTGCGGCATCAGGACTGTAAAGGTCTGAGCCTGTCTTGCTTGTTTACAACGAATTTGCGATGGAAGCGGCTTCGACAGTGTATGCTGAGTCATGATACTGATTGGCTCAGGGTCTTGTTCAGGTTCTTTGCTAGGTTTTACCTTGAGCCTCGCCCGGACATGAAACTCTAAAAGGTGGTCCTAAAGGCCCCATGTAGACTTGGGCGTTTCAAGCCTAAAACTTAAAGATGCGTCCCAGCATGGATGTTGGAGGTGCAAGCTTCTGGCTACACGGCACCTTCTCCTGAGCAACTCCATGATCTTGCATTCTGGAGGTCAGTTTGTCGGTTTGTCGGTGTAGTGGTTTTTAGATTCACAGCCTGGGGTGGTGTTTTGGAATGGTAGGCCCCTCTACTCCCCGTGAAGCCTGGGCCCTGCAAGGTCATATTTGCAAGGTGACAAGGACGACCTAGCATCATGTCACATCCGGTTACTATCCTGGATTAGAAGGGTTGACATCATGTGCTCGTTGTCACCTTGCAAACCAGATGAGTAGTATTTTATTTGGGGATGCTATGGTAATATAGTATTTTATATAAGGAATATAATCTTACTGGGTTTAATCACCACAAAAACGCTACTCAGATGCGACAACTGTTGGCTAAGGATGGAAGACGTGCAAGATGCCATGATTGCTCTGATGAGCGAGGGCATCCTCAGCATCACCTTCAGCAATGAATACTTGGGTATTCGCAGGTTTGAGAAGATGGTGCTTGATTTGACAAACCTGACGTCCAAAAAGCGGCTCCAAAGATCATTCAGCCGGTCGCTGCTCAAGCTGGATCTCGAAACGGCAGATGTGACCGCTGACTTCGTCATCATATCTTGCGAGCCTGGGGACGACGAGGCAGTGGCGGTGGCAGCAATCCTTTCAAGGCTGGGAAGTTGTGACACCGGCACTTTCAATAGCTGGCAACGGGGGGAATTCAGCAATTTAAGGCCCCTGCTTGGTCTGTGCAGGAAGATGTATGCAGGAGTGGCTGCTCGTGGGACCAGCATTGTCTGCCCTTCCCTCAGTGGGCCTGGGCTCAAGGGCTTCAATTCTTCCTAATATTAAATGAAATTGTAGGTTTGAGGTCCAAGAGACATCAAGAGACGACCAAAAACTGCCAAAACAAGCGCCCAAGAGTTCGAACCTCCACTTGTTCAAAGCTCTTTCGGACACTACCCAGTGTTCTGGGAGCCGCCGCTTCAGAAAAAGTGCATTCTACAGTGTATTTTAGTCAGAGCTTTTGAAATTGTGCTGCATCAACCTTGTGACAGCATTGCAGTGGTTTGTTCTCCTGGGAATGTGAGCCCACGAGACTTGGGTGATAGGAAGTGCTGAGAAGGGCTGAAGGTGGCTGAAGGGGAGCCTGCTTTGGCCCAAAGAGCTTCTAACCCTCGAGTGTCGAGGCAAAGTCAAGAAGATTGATTTTCCGTGGGTGTCAGTGGCTTCAACGCTTGTCTGCGAGTTCCCAGCATGACACTCCTGTTCATTTGTTCACCGGCGTCCTTGGCACGTACTCTGCACTTTCTCGGCAAAGACATCCAGTACGCTCCCTTGGTCAGACAGTGCGTCTTTGCTTTGATTGGTATTCCAGCAGGTTTGAGATGATGCGTCTGCAGTCTGCAGCTTCGTCGAAAAAAACAATATCGAGGAAGAACATGAACAATAGCTTCTGTGACTTATGTCATTTCAGCAGACTGGAATCTAACAGTCGGCAATCTTCCAGCCATACTGGCTTTTCAAGGAGCGAAAGGCTTCACCAAAATTAGACGTCTTTGACTACACGGGCCATGCTCCCAGCGCAACCTGCCCATGGGATGAGAGGCATGAAAGCTTTCTTGGTCCCACCCTCACCCTGACCCATGATCAGAGAATTCTCCATGCGTCTTGACATCCTCGTCAAACCGTACCCCGCTCGGCATTCCAGCCAAGACCCGCATCTACGTTTGGGAACTGATCGCTCCAACAGAGGCATGTGCTGGCAAAGCTTTGCCTTCAGCAAAGATGCGGAAGTCACAAATCCCTTTGTTGGATCGAACTGCTGCAGGGCAGTACCCTACTTGACTGGGATGATACTTGAAGTGTACCAGGTGTTGATCAGCGTCAGCTTGAAAGCGGTTGCGAAGGTGGCATCTCAAGGTTCCTTCGATTTGCATTGGATTTGAAGCATCATGAAGTTGATTGCTGCATGTCGGGATGCGCAAGCAGAGAGCTTTAGTGTGCAACGTCCAAAACAAGGTTGTATCATCAGGAATCCTCAGACCAGAAAGCACAAATTGCACATTTTCGTAGTTGAACAAGTCGAATTTCTAGGACCAAATCGTCACTTTATCTCTGGAATACTTGTTAACTATCAGCCGCCTGGTCAGCAACAAAACAATCCAGATGAAACGACGGGATATGTGCGGCAATGCTGGAAACCCATATTGGGTGTACCGGCATGTTGTTGTATTGATATGTGCGACCTTTATGAGCAACAAGCGTGCGATACCAGCTGAAGTGGGTCGCACACGTGCAAACTGCACGATCCTGTATCCTGCACGGTTGAAAGCTAGCCATATGTAGCCAAGTAGACAGAAAACGGTGTCCATGGAAGGATAGAAATGAACCACATTGAAGCAGTACAGCTCATCCC